GACACTTCCACTTCTACAACCTGGGCAAAACCCGTAACAAACGGCAATGTGAAGAACGGGAAATCCCGGAACAGGAGCGTAGAGACGAACGAGCACCGACCGGAACCACGCCCACCGGTTGTAGGGGCGTCGGCTAATGGCGTAGGGGGCGCGGCGGAGGAACACGATGAAAATGAAAGCAGTGGGGATGAAGAGGAGGAAACCACTCAGACTGTGGAGGAGCAAAAGAAAGAGTTCAGCGCCAGACTGAAGAGGGAGCTCTTCGAAAAAGAAAAAGGAAGGTAAATATTCAATTTGCGCTGAAGCGTTTAAACATGGTTAGATTCTTCGAGATGTGCTTCTTCAGGGGACGGAGCGCTTATGGGAATGCCCCTTGTGCTGTGATATCGGTCCTTCACACAAGTAAACAAGGTTAGATTTACCACATGGTACCAAGGCCACCATTTAACCAGATTTTCTGGTGACCATTCTCTGAATTATCTGGTGTTGTCCTTCTGTGGCATTAGAAATAACAGTACCAATATTTGTCCCCTCAGCCGATACATGTTTCCTACCACAGTCTCACTTACTTGGTTGGAGAATATGTATCATTGCAGGTGGCACAATGCTATAGCTCTCCTACCTCCTCTCCAGCATCCATTAAAGGGTCTACCTGCTGATCGTGATCGTGATATATTGTGTCTACATACTCTGAACGCCCCCTCTCCCTACATGTCCAGTTTTCTCTGCAGCCCAAACTCTTTGAATCCGAATCGCCACTTGAGAAATTTTTTGGGCCACCGATTTCGTCAACCCTAAGATCTACACCTGTCTTGTGCTACATTTACTACCTATTTTCACCAATATCTTCATTTTCTGCCCATATATGAATAGTTTGAGTGCTAACACAAACAAATCCATCAACATTTGACTGAATTATAGCGGTTTTAATGTAACATCCCGGGCGCCTGGGTGCGTAAAATAGTGGAATCCCCTGGGCACTGTGTATATACAGTGAAGGAGTTTAACACATCACGGTGG